CAAGACCAAGCTGCGAAAACGAGGTCAACCCACTTTTATCACTAAATTTGATTTGAAAATTCTACCACATTCAAAGTGAATTCCGTTATCAGCGATCTCTGACAGCGGTTTGTTGCACGATGAAGAAGAATAAGTGTGTAGGCGAACTATATGACGAGACAATTGAGATGGCGCAGATCTCGAGATGCTTGACAATGCAACAGTCCATAGTGTTCACCGATTGAATTTGACCTGCTGGAAGTGCTGCCTTGCCCTTCATTTAAGTCTCCTAGAGTTTGCATTATCCAACAGAACTTGAAATGACAGTGATTTATGTGGCCGATTTGGTGTAGAAGGAGAAGGTTCTGACAAAACGCCCTAGACATGCCTCCTTAGAGGTGTGATGATGAAACGCACCGATGTGACTTTCAAGTTGCGCAGATGTTCACGCAGGGGAACCTGACGTCGTAATCGTGTAAATTGATTGCCAACCAGATGCAACTGACGCAATTCCGGCAGAATAATGGACAAATTAGGACTCAAGCCGGCGATCTGATTATAGCTGAGCGATCTGGTATAGGTTTAAAGAAAGGTAAAAAAGAAGGAATTAGCTCACAAATGTGATTCAAAGTACATAGAAAGCCTTAGAAACCGTTCTTCTATGATGTTGGCTTAGGCAAAGAGCTGAGTCTAGATGCGTATACAAGCAGGCGCTCGTCTCGGAGGTGGAATTGCCTGAAGCCTCCACTTTCCAGCCAACCCTTGAAACTGCTCATGTTCTTAAGCTACAAACAGAACTAACCCCTTACAGGCTAACCCTGTTTGATTTGACAACCCTACGGTGTAGCCCAATTTGTAGAAATAAGAGGACGTCGAGCCCTCAGTGCCGTCCTTAAACTGGTTTCGGGAATTTAAGAAAAGCATGTCATTTAGAAACCCTTGAATTGCTGGATATAGTCAGAAAGTGAAAAATGCAACTGCAATTCGCAAACATGTGGATTCGGACTAGCTTGCTTCAGTTCCAATAAGCTTCAATGCAAAGAAATCAAGTGTCAAGATAAGCAATGCTTTTCTCGTCGGAGTCCCCTACTTTCGTATGGTTTTACCTGAGATCCATTCATGATCATTTAAAGAAAGGCCTCATTTCGGCAATCAGCTTCCCTTATAATATACACCAGCTACATATGGGGCCAAGTAACTCAGCCATGATATGGTCATGCGCCTAGAAGTATAGCGCTTTTGCCTCAGACCGCGAACTTCCGAGAGGTCGTGACTGTGGCCCATCTAATAATGATCCTCTTTGAGATATGGCATAGCGTAACGAAATGGCAAAGCAAACTCTTTTTTTAATTTATTGCAGCTATTATCGCTAACACTACTTAGAGCACCATACAAACATATTAACAATCAGATTCAGTATAGCCCCGGCCAAATGTGCACTAGAATGGTTTCGTATTGAACAAAAATTGAGCTCAAGCGGCTTGCTGATTGGGCTCAAAAGAAGCTGAAGCAAGATTGTTCTTGAATTCATGGACAAATTAACCCGTGCTCTCAGGTAATCAGTGAGTTGATGTTATAAAGCGTAATAGAAATGGATGTTAAGGAAAGCGTTTTGTGAATATGATGTATTTTTTAATTAATTTGCAATCTCTAGTCAATGCATACAGCCTTTTGTTGGCATCATCCTCGCAGTTCAATTAGAGTGACAGAACTACCTCATAACATTCGGTTATTATTCATTCGGATCACTACTTGGGGCATTCTCTGCCATTTCGAAAGCGTTGCTACTTAAAATAGCCATTTAGCAAACCCATGCCAAGTAATAATGAGCAAAAACTATAGTTTCGTTCATGATAGTGACCACGAAAAGGTGCGAAGCATTTGAGAAAGTCGATAGCTATCTATGTTCTTAGCTAAGAGGACAGAAGTGGAATACCATGGGCCCAAAGCTCTGAAGTATCTTTCAAAAGGCTATCTTATCGTAACCAAGTCAAATCGGCTAATTTCCCACTAATTTGTGTCACATTTAGTACTGCCCTTTTGCCAATATTTTAGTCCCACCATCAGATGTAAGTTCTGTTCATGGCCCGCAGAGTCATTGCAGGTTAGGAATGCCCCCCAAAATACCCCGCATCATAAACACGAGACAGCGGTACGTGAATTGCTTACAGGTAGGAAAGTTGGCCTGCACCAGGAAGCCAATCGGGAGAAAACCATAAGAAGCGATTGCTGGATAGATCCAATCGCAGTAAACTTGGAAGGTTGGCCAAAGTGCTTCGGTCCACAGTACTCATTTCGTTTGCAGATCTGAAACATCAGTACAGGTTAATGCTTGCTCGAGAGCAATCACAAAAAATACAAAAAAGTTCATTGAATGTTTTTATAATAGGATGACGCAAAGTTATGAAATCTAATTTTGCGGACAAAAGGAAAAGTTTTTTTAAAACTCTTATTCTAAAAAGAAGGAACTATTCACTCGAATGGTGATGAGTGTTACCTGTTGAGTGAGTGGGAAGAACAGATTTGGACTG